AATCTCTCAGATATCCCTACAAATTTCTCAGCTGAGAGAGATCTCATGAATCCATGGAATTAGTTCAGATATCCATAGAAATCTCTCAGATATCCCTACAAATTTCTCATCTGAGAGAGATCTCATCAATCCATGGAATTAGTTCAGATATCCATAGAAATCTCTCAGATATCCCTACAAATTTCTTATCTGAGAGAGATCTCATCAATCCATGGAAATATCTCCAATATCCATAGAAATCCCTCATGTATCCCTAGAAATTCCTTGTCCAAAAAGGGATTTCATCAATCCATGGAAACATCTCATCAATCCATACAAACCACTCAAACATCCATAGAAATCTCAAATCCTCATTCAAATTTCTCATCTGAGAGAGATCTCATCAATCCATGAAAATAGTTCAGATATCCATAGAAATCTCTCAAATATCCCTACAATTCTCATCAATCCATGGAAACATCTCATCAATCCACAGAAATCTCTCAAACATCCATAGAAATCCCTCAAATATCCCTACAAATTCCTTGTCCAAAAGGGGATCTCGTCAATCCATGGAAACATCTCATCAATCCATACAAACCTCTCAGACATCCATAGAAATCTCTCAAGTATCCCCACAAATTTCTCCTCTGAGAGGGGGGATCCCGTAAATCTGTGGAAATCCCTCTTAACCCTGGAATATCCGATGGAATTCCAGTGGTGTCACCCCAGAACCAACCCGGACGTTGCCACCTCCCCGTTTTCCCGTCTCGAACGACTCTTCCCTCTCTTCCCAAGGGTATCATTTCCCGGAATGGGCTTATAAAACCGAGTCCAGCCCGGGCTCCAGGCAGATCCAGCTGTGGCACTTCATCCTGGAGCTGCTCCAGAAGGAGGAATTCCGTCATGTCATCGCCTGGCAGCAGGGAGAGTACGGAGAGTTCGTCATCAAGGACCCCGACGAGGTGGCCCGGCTGTGGGGCAGGAGGAAATGCAAACCCCAGATGAACTATGACAAGCTCAGCAGGGCCCTCAGGTGAGGAGGGGAAGGGCTGGAAAGGAGCATTCCCAGATCCTCCAGGGGGAAATTTGGGGGAATTTAGGTCGGGTCGTCTCAGAAGTGGCCGAGGATGAGGTTGGACGGGGTTTGGAGCAGCCCGGTCTGGTGGGAGGGTGTTGAGGGTCCCTTCCGAAGCATTCCAGGATTCCTTGTGCTGGTTTAGGTGCGATATTGGGGGATAAATCCTTCCCTGGGAGGGTCCCTTCCAACCCAAAGCATTCCAGGATATTCCCTGTGCTGGTTTAGGTGGGATATTGGGAGTACCAAACCAGAGCATTCCAGGATATTCCCTGTGCTGGTTTAGATGGAATACTGGGGGTAAATCCTTCCCTGGGAGGGACCCTTCCAACCCAGAGCATTCCAGGATATTCCTTGTGCTGGTTTAGGTGGGATACTGGGGATAAATCCTTCCCTGGGAGAGTCCCTTCCAACCCAGAGCATTCCAGGATATTCCCTGTGCTGGTTTATATGGAATACTGGGGGTAAATCCTTCCCTGGGAGGGTGTTGAGGGTCCCTTCCAAGCCAGACCATCCCATAATTCCACACCCAGGGCTGAACATTCCCCTCCTTACCCTTCCCAACTCCCAAACCTCCAACCCTCTCCCCTTCCAGCCCCTTCCATGGGGGTTTTATCCCACTTTTCTCCGCGCGTTCGGGAATCCGAGCTCGGAGAACCCGCCCGGCCCTCGGAGGTGTTTCTACGCTCCAGGAGTGTCCCAGTCCCTGAAAAGTCATGGAATTATCAGTCCCTGGCATGGACTTGGCTGCCCCACACCCTCTGATACCTCCTGGGTGGAGCTGCCAAAGGCAAACACGGGAGTTTCCTCCGGGAACGGGGAGGAAAAACAGGTGGAAAACACCCTGCCTTGGGATCCGTGTCCCCTGGACGCTGTTCCCACAAAAGATCCTCCTATCCTGGACTGGGGAGAGATGGATTGGAGTGTTGGATGGGGAAGGAATGATCCATGGAGGTGATTTGGGGTCTGGAGCATCTCTGGTGAGGAGAAACTCATCCAAATATCTCCAGTATCCATAAAAACCTCTCAGCTGAGAGGGAATCTCGTCAATCCATGGATGTATCCCATAAATCCATACAAATACCTCAGATATCCATGAAAACCTCTCAGCTGAGTGGGAATCTTGTCAGTCCATGGATGTATCCCATCAATCCATACAAATCTATCAAATATCCATAAAATCCATAAATATCCATAAAATATCTATAAATATCCATAAATATCCATAAAAACCTTTCATTGATTCCATCAGTCCATGGATATATCCCATCAATCCAGACAAACCTGTCAAATATCCCTGGAAATATCTCCAATATCCATGAAAACCTCTCAGCTGAGAGGGATCTTGTCAGTCCATGGATATATCCCATCAATCCATACAAACCTCTCAAATATCCCTGGAAATACCTCAAATATCCATAAAAACCTCTGATCTGAGAGGGAATCTCATTCATCCATGGGAATATCTCAAATATCCATGGAAATATCCCAGATATCCATGGAAATGTCTCGAATATCCCTACAAATCTCTCAAATATCCATATGAATATCTCAGCATTCCCAAAAAAATCTCTCAAATATCCCCTGGAATCTGAGGGTGGATCCCATCCATCCATCCAAATATCTCACCTGCCTTGGAGGATCTCCAGGGATCCCTTCCAACCCCCAATATCCCGGGAAAGGAGGATCCAAGCCCTGGGCAGGATTTTAATGAGGGAATGATTTTAATCCCAAAAAAGGGGGAACAGAAGGGGAAGGGACTCACTCCCAGGCACGAAGCAGCTCTCCCAATCCCTGGGCTGGGAAAATCCCGGGAATCCAAACAAATCCAAGGCCAATCCAGGGGATTTGGGCCCCGTTTTTCCCGGCTCTGGTCGCTCCGAGTGTTGTCCCAGGGACACTTTCCCCTCTCCCAGGGAATATTCACCGGGATTTTTCTCCTCCTGGAGACATTTCCATGGCATTTCTCAGCATTCCCATGGGTGGGAATAAGGAGGGAATGCCTGGGAATGCCCAGGAGAGCTCCCAGCCCATGGCACTGGTCCCAGTTTGGATCGAGCCGAGGAGAACCCAGGGATGTTGTTCCAGCTTTTCCCACCCATTGCAAGGGACATAACAACCTCTAAAACGGAATATCCCGAGTTGGAAGGGAATTCCACGTGTTCCAAGGGATGTCATAACCTGGGAAAAGGGGTTTGGAACCTCCTGCTGAGGAATGGGCTGGAAAAGGGGTTTGGCGTCGTTGGATAAAATTCCCAGTGGATTGAGATTCGCTGGTGTTGACAACGGAAATCATGGAATATCCTGAGTAGGGAGGGACCCACCGGGGGGGTCACGGAGCCCCAGCTCCTGGCTCTGCACCCCAAAGATCCCAAAATGAGCCCAAAAAGATCCCAGAGGTTCGGGGCAGCCCCGTTTTCGCCGAGACCTCGGAGGCGCCGCTCCCAAGAAACGGGACCCGGAGCGGCCCCGGATCCATCTCTTCCCAATCCCTTCCCAGATATTACTACAACAAGAGGATCCTCCACAAGACAAAGGGCAAGAGGTTCACCTACAAGTTCAACTTCAACAAGCTGGTGATGCCCAACTACCCTTTCATCAACATCCGGCCCAACGGTGAGTCGGGCGCGCGGAATTCCGGCCGCGCGGGATTCGGAATTCCCGGCGCTCCCGCCGTGCCGGGAAGACCCCTGGGATGAGCCCTGCTGCTGTGGGGGGACGTCTGGGCCGTGACAAAGCCTTATCTGGGGCTGCCTTTCCCCAGGGATTGTTGTGGGAGCCGAGGAATCCGGGCTCCTGTTTGCGCCCGTCCCTCCCCGGGGGCGTCGCGGGTGGGTTTTCTTTGCTTTGCTTTTGGGGTGGGTTGGGTTTTTTTGGGGGGTTGGGTGGGTTTGTTTGGGGTGGGAGGGGGTTGGAAGGGTGTCCTTGGGATAAGAGGATTTAGTGGGGCTGCTCTAAGCCTGCCTGTGTTTGAACAGGAGTTTATGGGGCCGGATAAACGCGGCCCTTCTCCACCGGCCTGAAAGTTCAGGGCTTTGCTCCTCCCAAGGTCCCCTTCTTTTGGGCTCAGTTCTGCTCCTTTGAAACCAAAAAAGACCTTTTTTTTTAACCCCTTTCTGTCTCCACTCGAGCTCTGCACCTCCCCAGGGAATGCAGAGTTTCCAGAGGAAAACTCTGGACTAAAATCCCAGGGATTTCCCAACTCTCCCCAAGCTCGACTAAAGTCACAGGGATTTCCCAGCTCCCCCCCTGAAGCAGGAGAATGAACAAAAAAAATGGTTGGGAATGGAGAATAATCATTCCTTTCTTGCCCTGCAAGGCCTTTGAGCCTCTTGCCAGCAGCAGGGATTTGTCCCAGAGTCGGTTTTTTGGGAAGAGGGTCCCGTTTGCAAGATACTTTTTTGTGGAGTTAAATCCCCTAAAAGCCGAATTTTTCCATCTGGGTGGTTGGCCATGAAAAAACAGGGAGGTTGTTGGCCACAAAAACGAAAAAAAACCTCTGGAATTCTTGACACCCAAAACTCCAAACTCTCCTCCACAAAAAACACCGACACGGAGGTGCCTGGGGTTGGGAAAGCCCTGGAATATGGTCTGGGAGGGGAAAAAAAAAGAGCAGGGAAGGAAAGCAGGGGCTGGAAGGTCGAGCCTGAAAAGCCCAAGGGAAAAAAAAACAGGTTCCATGTGGGGCCAGAGGATTTCCCAGGGGCCGGAGCCGGGATTTGGCAGCCGGGGCCCGACACGGAGGTGCCACCGAGAGGCTCCTTTTGTGTCTCCCCAAGCCACCAGGAATCCCAAAAAACAGGGCTGGGAGGAGGGGAAAATATTCCTCCAGGTGTTGTGCCTTTGTAGGGAGAAGGAAATGTCTTCTCCAGGCGTCCTGAGCCAAGGGAACGGGGGTGGGAGATGTGTCTGGAGCTGCTCTGTAAATCTATAATTACTTGCAGCAACGAGTCCGGGCAGTTCCAGCTCCGTGTTCCCTTTTCCCTCCGCTCCTCCAGCCACTCCCTCCTATCTCTGGGGCAGGCATTTAAAAAAAGAACTTTGGAGAGAGAACTGGAATGCACTTTTGTCTAATTACAACCTGTTTTCTTCCCCTCCTTTGGCTTCTCTGGGGCTCGAGGTGGGGGGGGGGGGTTGGGATCTCCTAAACCTGGATCAGGTTTCTTCTTCTCCCTGTGTTTTGTTGGGGATTTTTGGTGTGTTTTTTTTTATTTTTTTTTTGGAAGGGAAAAAGTGGGAATCAAGGGGTTCATTGTGGAGGTGAGGGAGGAAAGTGTGTGAGAATTTGCTGGTTACGAGTCAGGGACGGGCGGTTCCGTAGGAAGAGGGAGCCAGTGGGAGCTTGGCAGCGACGTAGGAGGGATTTTCTTCCCAGAAAAAGCACAAATCGGGGATTTTTCAGGCAGCCTGGAGCACGAAATCAGGGATTTTTCAGAGCTGGAGGTTCACCAGCAAGAATTGGGATGGGATTCCTCCTCCTGCCCCCACCCGGAGTGAGGAGGTCAGGGAGGGGCATCCCAAACTTCTTCCAATGGCTCTCGAGCTTCCCAAAAACCTCGGGAAGAGGAGAGGAGTGGATTCCTCCCCAGCAGTGGCAGGATTTGAGGTGGGCAGGGAAAGGGAGCAGATGGAAAAGGCCCCTCCCCTCATCTTCCCAGCACGTGGGATTTTTGGGTTGCTCTTCCAAAACGCCCGCGGGTGCAGCCCCGGGAGCTGCTCCTTCCCTGGGATTTAACTCCCTCAGAGCTGGAGCTGGAGCTGGAGCTGCCTCCCTGAGGGAATTCTTGGACATGTGGCAGGAGGGGGTGGAAATTAGGGAATGGTCGTTGATCCAGAGGGTGTTTGGGGTGGAAATTAGGGAATGGTCCTTGATCCAGAGGGCGTTTGGGGTGGGAATTAGGGAGTGGTCGTTGATCCAGAGGGCGTTTGGGGTGGAGATTAGGGAATGGTTGTTCATCCCCAGGGCATTTGAGATGGAAATTAGGGAATGGTTGTTGATCCAGAGAGAGTTTGGGGTGGAAATTAGGGAATGGTTGTTCATCCCCAGGGCATTTGAGGTGGAAATTAGGGAATGATTGTTCATCCAGAGGGAGTTTGGGGTGGAAATTAGGGAATGGTCGTTCACCCAGAGGGGTGGAAATTAGGGAACTGTCGTTTATCCAGAGGGGTGGAAATTAGGGAATGGTCGTTCTCCCAGAGGGTGTTTGGGCACCAGAAGAGGCTCCACACGGTCCCGGGAGCTCCAGGAGCGTTGGGACGACGCTCCCAGGGAATTCCTGGGGCCGTGCAGGGCCGGGCAGCCGGGCCGGATGATCCCAGCGTGTCCCTGCCCTGACTGTGTGATTCCCTACCCCAGGTGTTGTCCCCCAGAGCGCTCCCCCCGTGCCCACGGCCTCGTCCCGCTTCCACTTCCCTCCGCTGGACGCCCACTCTCCCACCGAGGATTCCCAGCCCGGGGGCCGCTTCCCCGGCGGTTCCCTGGGCCCGGGATCCACCCCGGAGGCTCTGGGGGACGGCGGCGGCGGCGACAGGAAGCCGGAGGTGCCGGAGCTGCTGGAGGATTCCTCCTCGGATTGGCGCCGGGGGGGAGTGGATCTGCTGGCCCCCCACGCCGGCGGCGGCAGCGGGAGCGTCGCCCACCCCAAGCGCAAGCCCGACATCGTCCTGCCGCTGTTCTCCCGGCCCGGGATGTTCCCGGATCCTCACAGCCCCTTCGCCGTGTCGCCGCTGCCGGGCCGCGGGGGGGTCCTCAACGTGCCCATCTCGCCGGCGCTGTCGCTGACGCCCACCCTGTTCTCCTACAGCCCCTCGCCGGGGCTCAGCCCCTTCACCGGCAGCAGCTGCTTCTCCTTCAACCCCGAGGAGATGAAACACTACCTGCATTCCCAGGCCTGCTCCGTGTTCAACTACCACCTGAGCCCGCGGACTTTCCCCCGCTACCCGCTGGTGGTGCCGCCGCTGCAGTGCCAGGTGCCCCTGGAGGAGCAGCCCCAGTTCCCCATCAAGCTCCAGCCGCCTCCCGCCGGCCGGAAAAACAGGGAGAGGCTGGAAAGCGCCGAGGAAGCGGCTCAGCTCAGGGTGAAGGTGGAACCCGCCGCCGACAAGGAGCCCCCCGAGGAGGCCACCAAGGGCAAGGACGGAGGAGAGAGGAGGGAAGAAGGTTCCGGAGCGGAGGAAGGGAAGTTGGGGCCGGTGTTCGCCCGCCCAGCCGCCCCGTCCTGGCTGCCCCCGGCGCCCGCCCAGCCCGGTGCATCCTCCTCCTCCTCCTCCTCCTCCTTGGAAGAGCCCCCGGAGCAGCCGGGGGAGAGCGGCGTGGATAAACCCCCCCGGGATCCCTGCGGAGAAGCGGGAGCTCAGGAGAAGAGGGAGGACGCCCTGATGCCCCCGAAGCTGCGCCTGAAGCGCCGCTGGAACGGGGACAGGCAGGCGGAGCCGCCCGAGGAGAACGGCCTCTGGAACGGCCCCAACAACATCCCCAAGGCCGTGGCGGCCGCCGCCGCCTCCGACACCTAATCCCGGGATCTGGGGAGAGCATCCAGGGATTTATGTAGCAGAGGTTGTTGCAGAGCGTGGGGAGGGGAGCGGGGAGGTGGGGTGGGACGGGTGGGACGCGGGGGGGGTGTTAGAGCCTGGTTTTGGGAATTCTAGGAATTCTGGGGAGGGGTGGGAGGGGAGGGGGGGGTTGTGTTCTCTTTGTTTTCGTTGTTGACTCGCAGGTGAGACGCCGGGGGGTTGTTCCCGCTCCGGGGTTGTTCCCGCTGCTCCGGGGTTGTTCCCGCTGCTCCTCCGTCGTCATTCCCGGGCTTTCCCGGCTTGAGCTCCGGGCCTGGCACGGACTCCTGAGGGGGGTTGAGGCCTTTTCTTCCCCGGGGATGGAGGAATTCCAGACGTGGTCTATTTTGGTGTTTATAGCAGCAGGAATCTCCAAATCCATGTAATTCCCTGGGGGTTTTTTTTATATATATATATATATATATTTCCACGGAGCGTGCGATGGCGGGAGAGGAATTCCCGGCTTTGCATCCGCCTCTGGAGCTGAGGGGGGGACTGGGATGAGGGAATATTGCACTGTCCTTGGAGCAGGGGGAAGGATTCAGGAAGACACGACTGAGAAAATCAGGATGCTGCCGGAGCGGGAGAGCCGCTCTCTCTCTCTCTCTCCCTCTCTCTCTCTCCCGGAGAGGGATCCGCATTCCCGGCTCTCCGGGATCTGCATTCCCGGCTCTCCGGGAGATCCTTCTTTTCGCCTTGTTTTTTGTGTTTTTTTCCTGCAGAAGCCATGAGCAAAAACTCTTCAAATCCTTCAGGGAATTGGGAGCGGGAACGGGATGTCAAAAACTTAACCCAATGCCTTTAACAGACGCATTAAAATGTACCCGGGGCGAGGGGGGTTTTTTTTTTTCCCAAAAAACCCCCCTTCCCTCCCTTCTCCCAAATCGCGCGGGTGGAATTTGGGAGCGACGGGAAGATTGGAACGTCGGAATGATTGTGGTGGAGCGGGAATGCCGCCGGAATCGCCCCGGGAATGCCGGGAGCCTTGGTGACTCCATTCCCTTTGTTCGGATCCCCTATCACCTTGACTCATGCCTTAAACTACGTGTGGACTTGGATCCCGGCGGGATCTGGCCACGGGAGCGCTTGGATTTCATGGATTTTCATGGATTTTCATGGATTTTCGTGGATGTTGCCCCCGATGCCGGAGCGGTGGCCGCGTCTCCCGGCGTAAATCCCGCTGTATTTTTTGCTACAATCCTCCTGTTTCCCTACTCGGCCACATTCCCTCGGGAATGCGCTCCCATCCCGGCATCGGGATGAACCCCTCGATGATTCCTCGGAAAGGAGCTTTGGGAAACCCGCCGGTCTCTACGAGGACGGAGCCGCATCCCGAGGGGAGGATTCCCAAGGGGAGGATTCCCGGGGGAGCTGCTCCCGGGGGAGCGTCAGGAGCACAGTTTGGAAGTGGAATTCAGGCAGGGATTCGGGGCTGCTGGGATGAGATGCCGGGAGTCGGAGCGATCCTGGAAGTCAGGAGCGATCCCGGGAGTCGGGAGCGATCCCGGGAAGTCGGATCCTGTGAGACCTGGATGGGCTCTGGATTCCCGGAGCGTGGAGGAAAACGGGATATGAGGAGCCTTTGGATCATCCCCCCCCCCAACCCTGCAGAGGGTGTCCAGGAGTGAACTCAGGAATTAGAAAACACGAGGCCTTTCCCGATTCCCGGCTTTGATCCATATCCTCCAAGTGCCGGAGCCCGTCGGGAATTTGGGAATTCTGGGGCCGGGATCGGCCCCGCCCCTTCGTTCGAGGCAAAAAAACAAAACAAAAAAAACCCATAAAAAAAGTAGAAATTGGTTTGCCTTTAAAATTTAAAAGTTTGGAATGATGGAGGGGGGGGGTTGGGGAAGAGGGTGGGAAAAGGGGGTGGGAATTGTTTTTCCATAGCCATTGCACTGCAAAAAAAAAAAGCGGGAGCTCCACGTTCAGGGATAAAGGATTCCCGTTCTCAGGAAGAGCGGATCAGCCACCGGATCGGGGGGGGGGGGCCTCAGAGCCCCCCCCCCCTCGGGATCCCAACCGGACTTCCCGTTGCCTGGAAAAGCCTGGGAAGAGGAGGAGGAAGAGGAGGAGGAAGAGGAGGAGGAGGAAGAGG